ACGCTCGGGCTCGCGCTCTGCTTTATCTATACCCACGCCCTCCGAAAATTACCGACACTCTTGCCCTCGCGACCTGTTTGATTTACAGGTACACCCGCAAAATTAGTTCCGCAAGTTCCGCTAGGAAATTTCGCGGTTGAAGCTTCGCCATTGGCGTTAGCAATCTCCCCTATAATCTCTGGTACGACATCCGAATTTTTTTCGGGTGGCTCATTCGAATTTTTTGTTGACCATGGTTAGTCCCACGGGTTGGTGAATAGCAAACAAATTTGTGGTAGAATTTTTTCTCAGTGTAGAACTCCCCCGCAACCGATTACCAAGTAGAAGTGATAACAATGGACAATCTCGAAGATCTGTTGCCTGTTTACTATTCACGATTATTTCCCTTCAATGATTATTATCGGTGGTTGAGCTACGGGAAAGGTTAAGTAGATCTAATTTGGTATCTTTATTCCTATCTATATTTCTCTCATGTCTCTGAGAAATTAAAACCGTTAATTATTTCCAGGAGAGAACTTCCACAACAGAGAGTTTTCTTTCACCCTCGGAGAAGATGTTTACATTCGTTATCAAGCTTTTAATAATATAAAACAGCTGGAGAATGAAATCAAGAGAATTTTACCCTTCAAAATTGATATCGGCGCTATTTATACAGTGTGGTAAATACTTTTGAAAACCTTCTTACGTTCCACAATTTAGATTTTTTTATTTATTTCAGCCCAAAACCGGAGAGAAGAGTAGTTAACCTTGTTCCGGTGCAACGTGAACTTGTATTTGATATTGACATGACCGATTATGATGAAGTTAGAGCCTGTTGCTCAGGTGCTGAGATTTGTAATAAATGCTGGAAGTACATGGATATTGCTTGCAAAATCCTGGACACTGCGCTCAGAGGTGAACCATAAAATTGTTCTGTTCTTTGAATTCTTATAGCCTTTTTATTTTTCATATTCGGATAGACAGATGAATTTTATTCATCGATCCAGTGATTTAACAGTTCTGCTTTTTGCCTTTTCATATTTAATCTCAGAGGACTTTGGCTTCAACCATATCATCTGGATCTTCTCAGGAAGACGAGGAATTCATGCATGGGTCTGTGATCCCCTGGCTCGCAGCCTTGACACGACAACACGTGGGGCAGTGGCTGAATATCTCCAATTAATATCTGGAGGTGAATACACCAAAAAGAAAGTCAATCTACCTGGTGAAAAGATACATCCTGCTGTGAAACGTGCACTTAAAATTATCTCTCCGAAATTTGTGTCGATGTGTGTCGAGGAGCAGCAAATGTTGGAAAATCAGGAGAACATTCAGAAGTTCTTGGCAATTTTTCCTGATGATACCGCTAGGGCAGAGATCAAGGAACTTTTCGATAAATGTAACAAAGGAGTGGATCGGTGGTATGTATTCGAAAATTACGTGAAAGAACAGATGCAATCGGTGAGTGAATCACAATTTTCACAATTTATTTCGCATTCATTGAATTTAGTTCAAATAGATTCATGTGAATTATTTAATTTTTCATGCAGAATAAAAGATGGCGACATCGTCACATTATTGAAGAGATAATGATTCAATATTGTTATCCGAGGCTCGATATAAACGTCACGAAAGGCATGAATCATCTCCTGAAGTCTCCGTTCTGTGTCCACCCTAAGACTGGAAAAGTTTGCATTCCCTTCAATCCAAGAACTGTAGAAAAATTCGATCCCTCTACAGTACCAACGATAAATGTTCTCATTGACGAGATTAATGCTTACGACACGAAGGAGAAAAATATTGAAGGCGGCATCGAAAATACAAAGAAGATCAAAGACTACAAGAAAACAAGTCTAAACAAATCTCTGCACTTGTTCCAAGAGTTTCTGAGAAATCTTGAGGATGCCAGAAAGAATGAAAAGGATTCACTAAAAAATACCATGGAATTTTGATTTTTCGACCTTTTTTTCATAAAATAAAGTGAAATTAATTCTGCAAATAGTATTTTATTATAACAAATAGGCAGATAACATGTTATTTCATTTTTCTTTTCGTACAATACTTTAAACCAAGCAATAACTACTGATAGTCGTCAAACACATCAATATTATTTCTCTCCGTAATGAAAACTGCACATTCGCATGATCAGTTATCTGCTCACCTTACAATCCCTCGAAAACTGAATACTATGTATTAATCGCGATATTACCTGTACAAATTCATCATTAATTCCTTGCATAAAATATACAAGTACAAATGGAAAAAATCTGTAGCTATAAAATTAGAGTACAAGCCCGTTATACGGTTGACCTTGAGAATCAGTATATCTCATTCTGTTCTTCAAATGATCGAGGGTATTAGCCAAATGCTTCTGAATCTGTTCAGTCTCCTCACTCACTCCCAAATTAGGGAGTTCCTCTTTGATCTTGGCTATAACTTGATTCAGTATTTGTACAGTAACCAGTGAATTTTCTTTCTCATAAAAATAGATATAATGATTCAAGAGTTCCACATAGAGTTGGACTTGAACTGAAGTGTCCATGCACTGGCTGGCGATCCTAATACCTTTTTTTAGGCAATCCAAGACTTTATTTCCATCCTGCATCTCCTTTCCACCGGTAGCCAATGACTTGCCAGACCAGAATATGTGAGAGCATGTAGCAACCCCTCTGCACTGATCAGGTTTCCTGAGTAATTTACTGGCATACAAAGCACACTGGTTTCTCACAGGCTCAGCATTCTCATCGCTGAAACAACTCATCTGCTCGAACGTCGCAATAATCAGCGTTATAGCTGCAAGTTGAGCTTTCGAATCACTTATCTCATCCTCATAAATTGAGAAAGCCTGACTCATGAACTCGTAGGCAACCATTTCAAAATTATCAAAGCGAATTTCTCCTATAGCAAGAGCTCCCTGTAAAAATAATCTCAGAGGCAACTCTGCGAGTTCTGCCTTCATCAGGGCTGTTATTGTGGCATGACAGAATTGGAATATCTTCTGGCACTTCTTCTGCCACATCTCGTCCTGATCCTTCAGGGCTTTGTAAGTAAAAGCCAGTTGATAAGCCTGAAAGACAATTGCTGGAAGAGTGTATTTTATCCTCTTATTTCCACCTGCCGAAAAATGCTTTCTCGCAGCACTTAAGATCATGTATTGCTGGTCAGCTGTATCGGACTTGAAGTGATGAATTAGCCGCCCAAGGAATCCCTGTTCCTCGGCAAAGTCCTCTGGATCTTCCTCGATGGTCGGTTGGTCCGGCTGATCCTGGACTAGTGGTGATACCACTGATAAAACTGCATCCACCAACTCCTGAGTGGGAATCAGTGTTTCGTTGTCGAGGACGTTTGTTATTATGTAAACTGCGAGGAGTTTTCTCCCTTCATAATCGAAGTACTCAAGAAGAGGGGCATAATTTTCTAATTTTAAAATTGTCAGGATGTTTTTGTAATTATCTACGGGAATTTTCATCAGGCGAGACAGCTCCCTCGATACTGCACTGTTATACTCCAATCTAGTTTATTATTTCAAATTATAAACATTCCTGATGGCTGTCGGAATAATGAAAATAACTTTTATATACTCACTTTTCAACATTCAACTTCTGGAATATTTGGACAGTTGCAAACAGTACTTTATCAACGTAATCCACACGATCGGGATAGCATTTATGGGCTAGATTTATCAGTGCAACTTGGAGGGAGACGATGTCCTCGGGCGGCATATCTTGACGTGTCTGTTAATTGACAAAGGAAACAATTCGAAAATATTAGAGGGTAACACCACGGTTAGGCTGAAAAAAACTGAATGAAGAGAAATAGCATTAAAGTTATTATTATTATTGTTATTATTATTAATAATAGCAACACTTTTTCTTCTTTTACCGCTATCACAGATCATTTTTAATCATTAAAAGATAAAGATAGTGACCTGGCATTGGAAAGAGCAATTTATTTTTACATGGAAATGTTTACTATTCTCAGACTTAAACTTGATGAGTAAAGATTCATCTTCAAGTAAAATTAGTCCATCATTGATTGCTTTTCTATCAAAATAAATAGTGCAGTATCCAGGGTCATCATAGAATAGTGTCAAATAGAATTGAATGAAAAACCCATTAGTGGGTAATAATTACCTGAATAATAGTAGCAACTTGATCGCTGAATACATCAAATAATTTCACATCCTGAGGTATCCCAGGTATCTGGTTGGGACTCCCTGGGCCCCCAACACCGTCAGATCGTTGACTAAACGTTGCCAATCGATCAATCAATGAGATAATTATATTCTTGACATTGACCCCATTATGGAGCTCAGCACAGGACTTCAAGAAAGCATTCAACGTCTGAAGATGGAATTCATCCGGAAATACTTGGATGATGCACTCCATGAGATATTCTTGAGCAATAGCATCCCTGCAGCTGACAACTTGCTCCAAAATACCAGGCAGTACGAGTCTCTTATAAATCTCCAGAGTCACAGACTCGAGTTGACTTAGTCTCACCAAATTAGTCCCCACAAGGATCTTCAACTCCTCACGTTCTCTCTCCCTTCTTTCCCTATCTCTGCTGTGTCCCTGATGTTGCATCCTCACCCACAGTTTATTCATCTCAGCAAAATTCATGAGAACAAAGTCAATACTATCGCGCACTGTTCCTTCCTCGTCGTCACCCTCTGGTGCATCCGGTAAAATATTCCGGGTACACTGCAATAAATAATTACGAAGGAAAAGACCACGCAGTGGATGCTGCACACCTCGACACATCTCCACGAGATCTCGTAGTAAATCTCGCTTCAGGCACGGATTGGTTTTTATATAAACTAATCCCACGGTTATTAATAAATACCTTCAACAAAATCAAAATTATTCTCGTCAGTCTCTTAATTCAATATGTTTTCATGTACTTACAGACGAGGCACAATATTTCCTGCATACTGCACCAATTCGTAAAGATCAGTAACTTTCTTTCCCTTCTGGTACTGATCCAGCAGATACAACTCCAAATGACGAAGTTCATCGGTGATGGCCATGTCTGATCAATTCGTCAATCGATGACAATCAATTAAGGATAAATAGTTAATGAATAAAGGGGAATTGTTGTGTTGGTGTTTTAATGGAGTGAATTTGTTAATTGCTAAAGGATACATAATTCGTAGTAGCTCTTCGGGCTCAACAGGGATGTCCTGAGTTCCCCCAACATCGTCGAGGCATGTTTGAGGGCATCCATGAGTTTAGCATTGTCCAGACAATGTTTCATCTGAAATGCCTGTACCTTCACCACTCCGATGGCATCTTCCAGGAGCTTCTCCTGTTCCTCCAGACCCGTCATAACTGGAGTCATTGGCTGCGAGAAGAACAGAGATACCTACCAGACAATACGTTGTGGCCATGCTAGGATTTAAGCCAAGTCATAAACAGTCGTGCTCCAATCATTACGTTAATAAAATGCTGAGGAATGCCATGCAATTATCCATTACTCCATTGCTCAGGGAAAGATCGAGAATGAGCTGCGTCTTGTCTGGGTTACTAATTTTGATGCTCAAGGACCCAAAATATTGAACTAAATTTGCAGTTTATTAGTTTACTACATACCATTCTTTGCAGGTCTCACGTTAAATATCTGTTGACGCAAAATTAGAAAAGTGGACACTTCGGGCTATTCCACACCTCTTTACAGCTATACATATATTTCCAATTTTCTACCCCTATTCCCATTTCTCCTATATATATATTTCCAGTACCTCACTCTGACCCAGCCCCCTGACCAAAGAGGATTGACGAAAGTAGAGGCTCAGTTCTCGGGGTTTGAGTGACCCCAGCGATAACGTACTTGCACCCCACGGGAGTGAGGGCGCCACGAGCACTACTGGGGTGAAATAATTAAACAAATTCGGGAAAAATTGTCTCGCAAATGTATACTCAAACGATTGAGAATCGTCTGAAACGTGGAGATTTATGTGTCCCTCGGAACTAATAAATCTCCACGTTTCAGACGATTCTCAATCGTTTGAGTATATATTCGTGAGACATTTTTTCGGCAATTCGTTCAACAATTTTTCGAATTTTTTAGAGTGAACTCTTTTTTATTCCGTCCATCGGTTGTTTCTTGATCGTACCCCCACTCCGCTATATATCGAATGTTTTCGTACGTCACGGTTTCCTCGAATTATCGATACTCTCGGTCATACTCACGGGCTCTGAACATTATGAACACGCACGGGCTCTGAAAATTATCGACACTCACGGGCTCGCGACCTGTTTTACTTACAGGTACGGGCTCTCGATCTGCTTTACTTACAGGTACGGGCTCTGACACTGTTGAAGGTTTTGTACAGGCGCTGGCAATCTCCCCTATAATCTCTGCTCTTACCGCCAGGTACTTAGCCGACATGGGT